CAGTGATTTCCTTTTCCACAACACTGTCGTCCATTTGCTTAGGCTCTTCATCGACATCCTCAGTATTCGATTTATATTTGAATTTGTCCAATTTAGATTTGAACTTAGATAACAACGCCAATGTAAATTCCTCTCTGATATAAAAATTACAACTATTTTCACATCGATTATATATTTTATAACTAGGCTACGCACCTTCCTTGTCCTTTAACACTGTCTTTTGTCTTGGCAGTATACATTTGTTTTACTTGAATGAAATCTTTAATATAATGATTTTCGCTGGCTCCCTTAATGGCATCCTTCTTTGAATTCTTTTCGGACTCCTTGGAAAGTTGTTTCTCTTTGCTGACCTTATCCATTTGATATTGCCGCTTCAATGAAGCAATTTCTTCACGTATTTTGGACCTAGAAATCAGTGTGAATAAAGCCAAATAAAAACAGCATAGCGACAGTTATGCACATACTTTTCTTTGGATATTTTCTGGTTTTGTTCTTGCTCCTGGGTCATCAGAATGTCCTCATCGTCATCCTCGGATTCACTTTTGATCTCTTCACGTTTGACCGGCTTTGCCGATGTGGACTTAGTTGCTCTGGCGAGTTTACTCTTAATAATATCTGAGCAAGTGGCGGCTGTTTTAGTGACAGTCTCTTCGCAGTCATCTGACAAATTTTCCTCGCTTGCCGCTCGCTCTGTTTTCGGCACCTTAATGGGCTCCTTGCTTAGCTTTGGGTCATCTGTGGCATCATGTAAGGATTTTGCTTTTCCAGCATTTTGCTTTACAAATATGCTCGTTTCCTGTTCGTCCCCTTCGGCCTCCTCTCCAAAGGAAAGTAGTCCAAAGTTTCTAAAGAAAAAAACCCAGTGAAAGCCACAATATTTTGGGAAATCTAATACATACTTTACGCCTTGTTTTTCTTTTTTGGTTTTCTTCGATTTGGAGGCTGCTTTGGGCAGAGAGCGCGGCACAATATCGTTGAAGGGATTGCTAAGCACTTCTGTGGAAATAATGCGATGCGCGTACATGGGGCGTTCCTGGTGATCGACGATGCCCTCCTCCAGCTTAAGCATATTGAATACTGTATCGCCTGTGATCTTGCCAAAGAGTGTGTTCTTGTTTTCCAGCTCTGGCGTCGGCGCAAATGTGAAGAAAAATTGTGAGGCATTGTCATCCTTGCCAGAGTTGGCCATGCCCACCAGGCCGCGACGAGAATAGCGCAATCGCGAATGGAATTCATCCTTAAACGGATGGCCATAAATCGATTCGCCGCCAGTGCCATCGCCATTCGGATCTCCGCCCTGTACAATGAATCCTTTGACCAGCCGGTGAAAAGTTGTGCCATTGTAATAGCCCTCCAGGCAGAGTTGGACAAAGTTGCGACACGCTTTTGGGCATTCCCTGGCCCACAGTTCTATATCAATATCACCAACTGTTGTTTTCAACAAAACTTTGCCAGATGTTGGCGGCTCCTGGATGTAAATATTGCTCATTTTTAAGCAAATAAACAAATAAGACTAAAATTCTATACTGCAGCGTCGCTGTGTTGATGGTTGGCAACGCGTTTGAAAAAAGTCAGGGCTGTTTGTGCCAACAGCTGTTTAAGTTCGTAAAATATATCGATGTTTTAGTATCGATATAAATACCTGTTGCATTCATTTAAAGTGCGTACACACCCTCAAAGCATAATGTGCCAAAAAATACCAATGTTCGTTACTAAGCAACGGTTTCTTTTTACATTGTGTCGTCCTTGGCTTTGCTTTCAATTTCAAGTATTATAAAAGCTACCAAAGAGAGTTTATAGAATTTGTAATGAACTTTAGCGACGACCCACTGGCTGATTTACTCAGTGATAATAGTTTGGACAATGACAACTTTTTCGACGCGCCACCCGGCGGCAATGCAAAAAAACTGCCCAAATCCAACAAAGCCAAGAGTAAATTGGAGGATCTCTTTGGCATAAAAGAGGAATCGGAACCGGACGCCCAAAACGCCACGGCAGCAAAACAAACTAATGCCAAACCGTCTGCTTCGAGCACACCGCGCATTGTCAAACAGAAACCGACGCTATCGATGGACGATGCCGACGATGATGACTTAGGATTTGATCCCAAGCGGCCAAAGAGCAGCGGTGGCGCCAGGAAAAACCTATTCGACGATTTGCTTGGGGCGGCAGAGCCTAAAAGAAACATTTTTGATGAAATTTTAAGCGGGAACGAGACCGCATCCAAACGTCCCGCTACTGCAAAACCCTCAATGTCCCGCCAGTCAACGGATACAACGACGGACAACTCCAACGTGCACTCACAGGCGCGCCCTAAGACCGCAGCGGGCGCGGGCGCGGGCAGGCGCAGCTCAGCCTCTGTCCAATCCACCAATCTCAACGCGGATCCTTTGGGTCTATTTGGTAGAGAGAAGGACACAAATGCTACAGTTTCGGGTATGTCAACGCCCGTGTCCAAAAAGCGCGGCACAGCTGACTGGCTAGGCTTGGCTGCAGCGCCCGCAGCTGCCGAGGAGGAGCTGGAACGTGGCGCCTCGCCACCAACGCCCAAGTTAACCATAGAGCACCCACCAGCGCCAAAGAATACCTCCGATATACTGCGCATTCCCGACTCGGACGAGCCGGAACACGAGCCGCAGCAGCAGCCAAGCACGCGTCCGGCTGGGGACAGCACTGTGCAAAAGATCCTATTGCTCAACAGCCTAAACTTGGAGAGCAACCACAGCTACAATGCTTTGCAACAGCAGGAGACGCAGCTGACGATTGCTGCCCAAATGAAGAGCCAGGAACGCGCACTGCTCGAAATGCAGCTGAAGCAAGAGACGCAGGATCGCAAGTTTCATGAGCTGCTGCAGCAGCAACTGCAGCGCCAGCAGCAAATGGAGGAGCACATCAAGGCGCAGCAGGAGCGCATCAATATGCATCTGCAGTTGATGATGAGTCAGCCCGTCTTGGTGCGTGCCGAGCGCCCAGAGTCTCTGCCAGCTGCTGCTGAAATCGAAACGAAAATTCCATCTGATTCCGTGCCAGCCAAAGATGACGGCAAGGAACAGCTGCTGCAGCTGGAAACAGATGTCAAGCGTAATTCGCTCGAAAAGCAGCGACTCGAGGAGCTGGTGGCCAACATGAGAGTCAACTACGAGCAGGAAATCGAAATGATCGAGAGCTCCTACAAGTGAGTGCCTCAATACAAGTTCTCGAAGAGAGATCTCGAAACCTTTTCCATTTCAGAAAACAGCTGAAGGTATTGGAGCAGCACTTGGCTGCTGTGGAGCAGCGCTTGAAGCTGGAGAACACCGAAATTACAGATTACTACTCCGGCAAGTTGGATAAGCTTAAAAGCGACTATGATCTGCAGATATCCAATTTGAAGCAGGATCACGAGGACGATTTGCGCATGCTGCGCAGCTCGCATGAGGCAGACATGGAGCGCATAAGGCAAGCCAAAATACTGGAGCAGGCCGCTGTGCAGGATCATGGCAGCTACTTGGAGACGCTGCGCATGGCATCCAGCGATTTGCAAGAGCTGCGCGAGGGCCTGACCACGACCAAGGAGCGCGAACAGCAATTGGAATTGCGTGAACGCCGCCTGGCTGATGCGGAACGCCGTCTAAAGATCGACGAGGAGGGTGCCGAGCAAGAGAAGCGTCGTCTCATGGAGCTAGTGAGCACGCTGGAGTTGCAGCTGGAACGCCTGTCCAAGGACTCCGCCGAGGAGAATTGGCAGCTGCGTCAGCGCATGGCCAGCATCGAATCTGAAAAGAAGGCATTCGAGCGGGAGAAGCAGTTCCATCGCGAGCAAATGGAGCGCGACGAGAAGCGAATTGCGGAGCTAAAAAATCTGCAGCTGGCCGAGGTTGAGCGCCTGCAGCTAGATATGCAGCAGGAGCGCACGCGCCTCCTAGTTGAGCAACAGAAACTGGAGATGCAGCACAAGCTGCATGAGCAGGGCGACTTGAATGCTGAGCGACTGGAGCTGGAGGCGCAGCTACAGGTGGCACGAGATGCCATTAAGCGAGCGGATGAGCAACAGGAGCGCTGTCACAAGCAGCAGCGAGATCTGGAGCAGCGCAAGCGGGTGCTGCTGGAAAAAGAGAATGCGCTCAACATCAAGGAGGATGAGGTGCTGCACACGTCCAGCGACTATCGGCGGGCCATCAAGCGTTTGCACGCTGCCGAGCACAAAGCTCGTGAGGCCGAACAGCTGCTGCATGCCAAGCTGCAGTTGCTGACCAACCGTGCACAGGAGCTCAGCGAGAAGGAGGCACAAATCTCACAGGAACGCATGCTGCTCAGCCAAGATCGCATGACTCTGCACAAGATGAAGCAGCAGATCAGCCAAAGCAAGTGCGCCCTCTGCAAGATGGGTGTCGAAAACGTGGAATTCGCACAACGCATGGCTAGCCATGGTAAAGGAAACCAAGCCACCAAGAATGCAGCGATTCAGCCAGTGGCACAGGATCAGGTGCAGGTGCAGACTCAGTCGAGGTCTCAGCTGGAGAACAGAAATGTTAGTCAAACCGGAATGCCTGTGGGCGATATTGTTGAGCGCATGCTGGACGAAAACATTGAGGCCTCCTATCGCAGGATGTACAATTTGTCGGATAATGAAGATTTGGACTATTGGACAACGGTTGGGCTTGATGACGATTCCAAAAAATTAGTCCTGGACAACGGCAATAGTTTAGACATCGAAGACTTAATGTTGGCAAATCTTAACCTGCACTGAAAACATTTAAAATAAAAGAAACACTATTTCCAAAATTGTAAAATTACAAATTTTTAAATTTAAAAGCTACTTATCGATAGTTTTGACCAACAATCGGTATTTTTAATATATTCATCGCAATAGTCTGATTCCAGTGTGTACATAAATCTATAACATTTTTTATTACTATGCTTGTTGCATTCCGTTTTGTGAATTTTTCCGTGTCGTTTGTTATTATTCTTTTCTGTGACGAAGCGACCGTAGCGATTTAGTAAAATTCAATTAAGTATATTTATTTTATTGTTCAATAACTGTTCTTAATAATATGTCGCATTAAACAGTATTTCGCGTTTAACGCCTACGTGTATGTGTGCGTTTCAGTTTCGTTTTTCTGTACAAGTTTTAATTTCTCTGTGTTAGTGTTATATCTGTTGTTTGTATGCATGTGTATGCATGTGAGTGGAGGAAGCTCCAAACCCGCGGAACTCACAAGCAATCCAAATGAAAACGTCATAAGTAAAAAGCACATACAAATTGAAGCAACTGAAATCGACGGCAGTATTAGGCAAGTGTGCAAGAAAACCAAACTCGAGCTATGTAAGTGGATGAAAAGCGAAACCAAGTACACATACATATATATACATATATATATATTTATATATATTTATGTATGGCCTTATATACATATGTACTAGACTTTGCTGTATGGGCGCAAGAGCTGCCAACAATTTATATACTGGCATTTACAACTTATGCGCATATGCATATATTTTTAAATACATTTTTTAATGACTATCGTTATTATTATATAAAAGTGCTGAAAATTTTTAAACATTTTGCTGTTTTATTTTTACATTACGTTTCTGCGAACACTTAGCTACATTTATATGTTTGTATGCGTGTGCACACACCTTTTTAAATACATATTTACATATGCATGTAGGTATGCAAATTTGAACTTGTCGAACTGCTGCTCGTCATACTCATCATATAATATATTGTTCGTTAGTATTTAAATAATTTTTATTGATTGGCTTTAACCTTTGGCTCGCCTTGCCTCAGCTAATACTTTCACAGTACCGGCATACATATGTTTGCATGTTTTCTTATCTGTTTTGTCCTCTTTTTTTGATAGCATTTTGATTTCGTTTTCATAGTGTATATGTGTATGCTTGTATGTGTATGTGTGTAGGTACCGGTACCACATCTGTGTTTTACTCATGTGTTGAGTGGTGCTCACACACAGTGTGTGTGTGTGTGAAAAGCATTCATGCTGAACAGCTGTTCTTCTCAAGGCAATCGTGAGAAAGCGGCACATTCGTTTGTTTTTATTTGCGACACACGCACACACACATACAACAGTCTTGTCGTACGGTTGTTGTAATGTAATGTAAACCTAAATACGCATGAATGAATTATATATTTATGTGTGTGCATATCTTAGATAAATGTATTGAGTTAACTCATACAATATACAATTAAAGCTTTGCTGGCAGACTCCTCTCTTAGACAGAGCCCTCTTTAGTCAGCCACTTTCCTCCCTTTAGTTTGAGGATAGGATAGGAGCTCTACAAAAACTGGACTTCATAATTCAATTTTGTGATATTTATCAAAACTGCTTTCAATAATTCATTTTAACTGCTCATTAGAATATATAAAAATATGAAAACTATTGCAAAATTATTATATCATTGACATATTCCATAAGCGGACATATATCTTATCTAGGAACAAAACTCTGGAACTCTAGAGCTTGCTCAATTGCTTTGTTATCGTATTTTACACTCTACACTAACTATTAAAAATAATTTTATAGTATAATGGACGGTTAACAGTTGCTCGCCAAATCTACTCAGGATCAAACTTTAAAATGATTATAATTTATAATAGCTATGAGAAACCATTGTTAAAATTCACGAAACGTGGAACATTCCTCAACAAACTGGAAATATGTCTGTTTTTTTATCTGCCGCAACAACTGCTTATTAAAGCTCTTATCACAGTCAAAACAAATATGCGATGAAGGATAACATAATAATAAAGCTACTGCCGTCGAGTTGACTAAGCTTGTTGCGCATTTCTATTAGGTCCGCCCAACGGTGCGACTAGACAAGAGTTTGGTAACTAGACATATACTTATAATAACTAAGGCAACTGGTTTAAGGTTTAAGGTTAAAAAGCTTTTTGATACGGTGCCCTAAGAAAACCAGAAAACTTTTCGAATTTTTATAAGCAATCAACATATAAAATGGGCTCTGTAATGTTAACTTTGATTTCATTGCTTTATGCTTAGAATTCTCAATAAGTTAAGGCTTCGAAATGAGGCCAGGCGCTTGCAATTCTAAAGTTAATGTCACAGTCTGCAGCTTATAGAAACAGTAGGTTATTCAAATAGATATCGTGTTATTTGTAGCTCATTATATTTATATTAGAAAAGAGAACTGACTACTAAACTACTTATGAAATACTTCCTACATAAAACCAGCTTAGGGATTCAAAAGTATTTGCTGTCACTTTAATCGCACATATGTTGCTCGACAATATTATGTCAGTCTACAAGGGAACTCCTGAAATATCTGTTCTTAACTCAAACAGTTGAAATTAAAAACATTTTGTAATGCCCTCATTTAAAAACAAAGATAGGCTGAGAACAACGTTTTATAAAATCTCCAAGTTATCTGCAAAAATTATCAAGTGGCCGTTGAAGACATCTTCACGGAATGTTGTCTCGAAGGTATTAGCGCAATTATAAATATTGTGTGATTATATTGATCACGTCATGTGTTTCAACTGAACGAACTACATAAATAGCACGTTCTATTGATTCATCAATTGGATTAGAGCGCAAATATTCTTAATATAGTCATAATTTATCGTTTGTTTCGGCCTCTAATTAATTAATTTTATTTTTCGTGCTCCCTGCCAACAAACGCAACTGAATCATGATTTGCCTTGAACTTCAACTCAAACCTTCAAAAAAAAAAAAAAAAAAAAAATACAATACAACACAATATATTTTTGCTCCGTCTGTAAAACACTCTTGGACTCTTTATTTCACCTTTACAGCACGTAATCGCGTTTATCGTAGCTTTTGTTATCGCACAGCCGAATGGCGCACAGATAAGCGAATCAAACCACACGGCATTGTTCGGCTAGGCTGGAAGAGAAAACAAAATTTTACCAATTATATTTTTTGTTTGTTTTTCTGTTATTTGCAGTTGGTCGTGGGCGCAGATTCTGAGTGGATAATGGCGAATCAGGCGCAAATCGATAGCGACAGGCAATTCCAGGAGGACTTGGCCAAGGCGACGGCCCTGAGCCTGGAGCAGCAGGCCCTCGATGACTACAGGCGTCGCAAGAAATACGGCACTAGCTATCAATCGGGCAATGTCGACTATTACTCCCAACAACAGCAGCAGCAGCAACAGCAAGAACAAAGAAGCTACAGTCTAGCCCAACGTCGTCACTCGGAGGTGCATCAGGCGACGGCAGCATTGAGCAGTGTGGAGCGTTCACGCACGCCGCCGGCGCAGTCAGCCCATGGGAATGGCAACGGGGACAGCGATCTGATATGCTTTGCCAGTCCCACGAGCAAGCAGCCGACGCCAGAGAGCGGCAGCACCTTCGAGCGTTTAATTGAGGACTTGCAGCGTATGCAGACAAATAATCCGCAAACGGCTTTGGTGCCAGTTGGCCCGGTGGCGGCTGCAACGCCAGTGCCAGTGCACTATCCGCCACCGAGCTATGCAGTGGGCAGTGTGCCGGGCGGCGTTGGTATGCAGCTGGTGCCATATCAAGCGGCCGCCCAACAGCCACAACAAAGGCCGTTGAACTACGAGGAGCTGCAGCGCCTCTATAGCATGCCCAATCAATTGGCCCTGCAGCCAGTTGCACCGGCGCCGGCTGCGGGCTTTGTATACTATCCAACGTTCTCGGCACCAGTTGTGCCCGGCTCTGCTGCGTATATGCCGCCTCAGTATCCGTCGCATGGCTTTGGCTATGGCATCGCTGGTGGCTATGCGCCCCATAACGGCGGTAGTACGCACGTGGACTTTGCCCGTCCACACAGCACTCCGGCAGTTGGAGCGGCAGCAGCAGTTGGAGCAGCAGCGCCAGTTTCCGCATCCAACAATAGCAGCGCTAGCCAATCCAGCCACTCAGTTCCACATTCCGGCGCAGGGACGCCAGTTGCCGCATTCAATGTGCGCCGGGCCACGCCTCCCGTTGGCAGCAGCCCGTCGGTTGGATCCACGTTGCCAGCTCAGCGGACCGGCAACGATTTAATCGATTTGAATCAGGACGATTAGTATGCATCATAAATTCTCAGTTTGCCTTTGTTTGTTCTCTTTAATCCAAAAAAAAAAAACAACAAAACATTCTCTATTGCAGTTCCCGTGTAAGCGTCTTGGAGGCATTCGATCCCCTGCTCAATGAGAACACTGGTAAGCAATGGTCAAAAAATTGTTTATAGCAACATTCTCTCTATGCGAACTGTATTTGTAAAGCGTCTTTCTATTATAGCGATTAGAATTTTAGACTCTTAACTCCATGGATAGAATCAATATATTTTTAATCCAAATTACGGGTCTTGTCTAGACAATAAATATCAATAAAGTTCTTAAATTATTCGTCAACTCAACGTTTTGGGCAATACAAAAAAATAAATGTAAACAAACATTGTGAGATGAAAATTTCAACTATTGAAAATTTAAAAAAAAAGTTTAAGGTATTCCTAATCGAGATTATAATTAAAAAAGTATTGAGATCATTTAATTGAATAATATGAAAGCAGCTAGATTGGAAATATTTATGTATATATTCTTGAGCTGACCTTAGTAAAGCCATGTCCGTCTGCACAAGCTAATTCGAGTGCTTACTTCTTAGGTAAGGGTATGTAAGTTTCGGTGCGCTGTAAATATCGTAAATGCGTAGTTTTTGTTGTTGCTGTTTGTTGTTGTTGTTATTAATCGACACCAAGTATAACCAAAAAAAAAAACCTGTTAAACTGAATGATTTCTGTTTCTCTATATTGCAGTGTCGCAAAAGTAATACATTTTAGTGCAAACTTCTACTACTATCCATACTAAGTACTACTACTACTACTACTACTACCACAAACTGCAACTACTTAACTATCTACTACCACAACAACAACACCCACCCAGACCAACAACTAAAGTGCAAAAACCCAAGCAAACCAAAAACAAAACAAAAAAGTCAGGCGAGAACACATATACACAACACGTCACCAGCTAAAGGCAAAATGGGCTCAGGGTTTTGGTGTGGATATATCGAAATTAAAATAAATGTTATTAGTGCCCACTTAAAACCACCTGCACACACAGCATACACTATTTTTAGAAATTAACGTTCTTAAGTCTAAAACTTGTGCCTTCCACGACTGCGCCAGAGCCAAACATTAGATATAGTGAAAACAAAAGTTGGCCATATATCAGCAAAACAACATTTAACATCACAAAAGTGAGATATCTAAATTAGTTTTTCGAAATTTGGTGTTTTGAATACGAATTTGACAGATTTGTCTGGCTTCATTTTGGTTGTCTATCAATCAGATTAAATTTAACTTAATTTTGAGTATTATGAAAGAAATTGTGATTTGCAGCTACATATATACATACACACATACAATATTTTAATATACATATACATATATATATATATATATGTATATATATACATACATATGTTAAATACAATCTTGTATAACGATGAGACCAATAATAAATAATGCCTGAGAATAAAAATCCCAACATTTTGTTGTTTTATTAAACAAAATTCAACGCTCAGACGTTTGCGTATATATCTTCGATATGGAACATATTAATTTATTTAATTTTCTATTTGCATTAAATCGTATCTTTTTATCATCTGGAAACATTAACATATGTATGTATATATGTATAGTATATATATTTGTTCTATTTTAATATTGCAACTCGTAGAATTTGATTGTGAGGGAAGCATACAAAGATATAATATCTTCGATAGTTTCTTTTTTAATGAAAAGCTTAAGCATGACTAGTTCTCTTTAGTGGACAGATATAAAATAATATGCAGCTTAAGTAAGCCACTAAGTAACAACGGCCTTTACATATAGAGTATGCGTAAATAGTTTTTCAACATATTCCGAACATATGAAAGAGAAAAGGTCATAACGAACGCGATATTTGGATTTATATTTATATAAATAAATCTTTGTGTCGTGTAGATGCCGTGCGGCGTGGGCGTCCGTCCCCTGGCAGCTAAGCCAATTGGCCTTTTGCTATGCTAGTTGTTGGGTAGTATAGGAGTCCGAACAGATTCGTTAGCATAGTTTTGCGAAATGTTTTCGGCGCCGCTCTCAGTTTCATTCGTGGCTAGCCGCGTCGCAGTGTTTGAACAGGGGTGGTAACGACGACAACGACGACGGCGACGACGACGACGACGACTTTATTTTTGTCCGCTCGCTCGGATTTAGTCGATCCATTCGGTTGTGTGGGCATTTGCATAATAGTCATCGTGCGATTGCTTGTGTTTGGTTAATTCGCTTATTGATGATGCACTCGTTACTTGCAGGCAACGACGGCGCCTCCGATTGCACCTCCTACTATGCGGAGTACGATCCGTTTGACTTTCTGTACAGCGGCGATAATGGCACACAGTATTCGGATCCCATGTATGAGGCGGTCAACAGGTGGGATAAGAGTGCCGTTAACAGTGGCAGCGTCAGTTCGTTTGGCTGGCGACAGGAATACCTCACGCAGCCCTCGCATTCACACTCATCATCGCCCACACCAGCTGCTGCCTCAGCGGCGCCAGCTGCAGCGCCCCCAACTGAAGGGTCTGTTTCGCCGCCTCCTCCATTGCCGCCACGCAATCAGCAGCTGTATGAGACGGGTGCCGCCGGTGTGTCCACATCCAAGCCATATCAGTTGCCGCCGTTCACGGATAGTTACACCAACAGCATACCGGCTCGAGTAGTGCTAGATCGCCGGAAAACATTCACCCGGCTCTACGAGCTGATCAGCGAGCAGCGCACGGATGATGCCGAGCTCTTAGAGTTTTATCATATGGTGCGTGAAGTGCGCAGCAGTTACCCGCATGGAGATACAGCGACAAATGTGGGACATGTAATAGCGGCCGAATTCAACTATCATTACATGATGGACACCAGCATTAAGGTGATTGTGCATCCGGCTGTGAATACGCTGCAGCCGCATGCCGTCACCAATTCCCTAGCTGGAGAGCAGGTCAAGGGCTATGGCACGCCGGTGACCTTCACCTGCGACAGTAAGTGCTATCAACAGATTTAATGGATTCCTGACTAATGTGCCAAATATTTGCTTGCAGTTGATTCAGTGGTGGCTCAGGTGGTGGCCCAGGCGCTGGCCTCGCTCGAGGGTCAGGTGCAGGGGACTGTCACGGATTTTGTGGTCAAGGTGCGTCTTTGTATAGCGGTGCATGTGCATTTCTATAATACTCGCTAATTCTGTTGTGTAGCCCATTGGTCTGTTGGAGTGGCTGGCGCCCACCTCGAAGCTGAGCCAGCTGGAGTGCGTGCATAACAGCTTTCAGCTGGAGAAGGATGTGCATTTGGGTCTGTGCTTGCGCAGCGCTGCCAATATGCAGGCCATTTCCAGAACACAGCAGGACGATGAGAACGACGCTAATCTGCAACCGGAGCAGGTGCTGCCCAATGAAGTGGTACCCATTGTCACCTATGACAATATGATGATACTCATTGAGACCCTTGAAATGGAAATCGATAAACTCGAATCGGCTGTAGACGGTGCACCTGCTGGACGCAGTGTTGTCAGCTGTTCGGGCGTGGTGCAAGCCGTCAAGGCGATTTGCGCACTGCTCGGTTCCATCGATACGCTGGAGATAGCGCGTTGCATTAGCGAACTGAAGCGCATATGCGAGGAGGCGCAGACCAAGTATGCACCCTTGGCGGGTGCAAACAATCCAGAAATCGTCAGCGACTATGGGGAATACGCGCAGGTGACGCTTAGACCGCGCTCTATGCTAGAGCAAATAAAACTAAAGTGCAATCGGCTGCGTGATGCTGTCCAGGAGCTAGTCGAATTATATGCCAATGTATTTCGCGTTGCCTTTTCCGTGAAGACCCCCGATTATTCCACAAGTAAGTAAATACCCTAATTATGATTTGATTGCTTTTTAATTATCAGAAACTTTCCAGCTCCCATACCCATCTCGTGTGTGTCCAAGCCGATTGTGGTGAGCATCAATTGTCTGCACAGGCCGCCGCCCAACTGGAAATACGAGGATTATTCGCTTTGCGTGCAGCTCGTCTATGGCACGCGCCTCTTGTCCAAGCCCAATGTGCTTAGCTGTTCCAATGATACGAGCGGCGGCCTATTTCCACGCTTGAACTTCAGTGCGTGGTTAACCTTCGATCAGCATCCCATATGCACGTTGCCACGTGAGGCGCGTCTCACCTTTGTACTGTACGGCAAACAGGCGGCCAGCGAGAATGAGCCAAATGCGGAACCAAACGGCGAGCGACGGCAGGTGACCACTGAGTTGGGTTGGTGCTCCATACAGCTTTTTGATTTCAAGCGCACCATGATTTGTGGCCCCTATTTGCTATCCGTGTGGCCACCCACCACTGATAAAATGCTGGGACCAGCGCCTGCGCGTGGCTGCCATCCGCACCCTGACTTTTGTCCGGTGCTGAGCATTGAAGTGCCACCCTATGGCGGCCGCATAGAGTTCCCCGAGCATCAGGAGGCGCCCAAGCCCGCACCACAGTACGATATAATCGTGAATTATTGACAGTGATGCACTTATTGGATTTACATTTTTTCATACAGCTACGATTTTGCCTCGCTAGACGCCAATCTGCAGGAAGAACTGTTGGACACGGCCGAACTAGGATATTCTGGTGCAACGGACCGCCGAGAGGTGTTTTGGGAGAAACGTCTCTATCTGCAGAAATATCCCAATGCGCTGCCCAAGGTGCTGCATGCAGCGCACAGTTGGGATTATGCCAACCTGATTGATTTGCATTCCCTGCTACACTCTTGGGCACCTCTATCGCCGTTGCAGGCACTGGAGCTGCTGCTGCCTCGTTACCCGGACGCCAAGGTGCGCGAGAAGGCTGTCGAGTGGATCTCACACATGCCCAACGATCAGCTAGTGGACTTTTTGCCACAGCTGGTGCAATCTCTTAAGCACGACACATATGAGGCATCGGCACTGTCTCGTTTTTTGCTCTCCAAGTGCCTAGAGTCGCCGCGTTTTGCCCATCACATGTACTGGCTGCTGGTACACAGTCTGCCCGATGATCCGCTCAACTCAATTGGCGCATCGCTGGTGGATCAAGACTACGATGAGTCGCAGATCACACAGGCGCGCTATTATCGCCGTAATAAGATGATGTTGCGTGCCCTCATGGCCATTTGTGGCGAGAAGCTGCTCAAGCGTTTCATGTATCAGCATCGCATGTGTCAGGTGGGTAGCACACAAGCAAGAAGTGTTTTTATAGTTGACGTTGTTGATCGCTTCTCCTTTGCGCAGAATTTGGCCAAGATAGCGGAGTCTGTCAAGGAAGCAAAGGAGTCGATGCGGCAGAAGAGTCTAGTTGCGGGCATGGATCAGGTGCATCAGGATCTGTCGGAGGAGCCCACTTGTCTTCCGCTGGGTCCTGAGCTGGAGGTGTCCGGTGTTAATGTGCGCAACTGCAGCTACTTCAATTCCAATACGCTGCCACTGAAAATCACTTTTGTGGGACCTGATAGCGAGCCGCTGCCCGCCATTTTTAAGGTAAGCCGACGTTGTTGCCTGAGTCTAGCCACATATTGTATATCACTTTTTTCTTGATAGTGCGGTGATGATCTACAGCAGGACATGCTAACAATCCAACTGATACGCATCATGAACAAAATGTGGCTGGCCGAACGTTTGGACCTCAAGATGGTTACGTTCAATTGTGTACCCACTGGCTACAAGAGCGGCATGATTGAACTTGTCTCTGAGGCCGAAACGCTACGAAAAATACAGGTGGAATGCGGTTTAACGGGCTCTTTTAAAGATCGACCCATTGCCGAATGGCTGGGCAAACAGAATCCAAGTCCGTTGGAATATCAAAGTGCTGTGCGCAATTTTACACTCTCTTGCGCCGGCTACAGTGTGGCTACCTATGTGCTGGGCATCTGTGACCGACACAACGATAACATTATGCTCAAGACCTCGGGACATTTGTTTCACATCGATTTTGGCAAATTTCTGGGCGATGCTCAAATGTTTGGCAATTTCAAAAGGTGTGTGGTTTTAAACAGTTTTAACGCTGCAATTCTTAAAAAATATGACTACGTTAAGCAACTGCTAAGAAGAATGATTCCACTTTCCATGTGAATAAATTTTGATTTTTATTTTGCAGAGATCGCACTCCGTTTGTGCTCACCTCGGATATGGCATATGTGATCAATGGCGGCGATAAACCCTCTACGGATTTTCACTATTTCGTTGATCTTTGCTGTCGTGCCTTTAATATTGTGCGCAAGAATGCCGACCTGCTGCTCCATACGTTAGCGCACATGGCTACAGCGGGCATGCCGGGTGTCAATTCGAATGCCGTCACCTATGTGCGTCGCGCCCTGCTGCCTTCACAATCGAATCCGGAGGCAGCGGCCACATTCGCCAAAATGATACAATCCTCGCTGAAGAGTTGGTTTACCCAATTCAATTTCTTCTTGCACAACTTGGCCCAGATGCGTTTCAACAATGACGAAGGCTCCGGTGAGCTTTTATCGTTTGTGCCACGCAAATACACGTGAGTGACAGGTGCATACCTATATGAAGAAACTTAACTAACAAAGCCCATTCTGCTTTCACAGCATGCAGCAGGATGGTAGGCTGAAGATTGTTAAAGTGGTGCGCTTCCAGAAGCACTACAGCATGGAGAAGTATTATATGTACATTCTGCAAGTGACACGACACGGACAACTGGATCCAACGCATCTGTTTCGCTCCTATCGCGAGTTTACCGAGTTCCATCAGAAGTTATGCATGCACTTTCCACTGGTCAAGCTGCACAGGTAAGTGAACACATCCAGTCTTGAGTTTGTTCATTTGAGCGTACATTTAAAGAACAGGGGAGATTATGAACAGAATTTCATATATTAATAATGATTCAACTTTAATTTCTTCGTAGAAATTAGTTTAATTCTTTTAAAAGTAATATCTGCATTGAGATCAATCTATTTTAGTATGTGTTTGAACCAGTTTATTGTAGTTTTCTAGTTCTACCTAACAGTTTAGACTGAAAGACTATTTGTTATCTCTCGACTTTTATATGCGTGGGAAATTGGCTTTACTTATTGGATCCGTAGGTAATTTCTTTTATTATTTTATCTAAGGATCTAAGATCTCTGGAATTTTTCGATAATTTTAAATCCGTTATTCCAAATTTGAAGCCTTCGTCTTTACGAACAATTCGACTATTAATGCTGAGCAAGAGCTTAATTAGTTTATGGTTCGTAGATGCCTTCTTTATCTGGGCATACTTTACACTCTTTTCATATGGGCACAAAAGTGATTAAAATAGAGAAAAACATTTTAAAAATGTAGTTTACAATAATGATAAATTTATTTAAACATAGTCAACATTATATGGCAACTCCTACTTTAGATATATATATGTTCATGTGTATATACATAGACTTATTTACATGTTAAATACTGTTTTTGCTAAGGAAATGCAGAACAGCATCTTGGTTTGGGGACCTAAGCCTCTGTGATTCTGTCACCCTGTGCCGTGCGGTCCAAGTGAACCACTGGCCGCAGTGCGTCCGTCATGGATCGATGTTGGCGTATGGCGCGTCCAAATGCTTCATCATCGCTGTCTTCTAGCGAGACCTGAGTGCTGAAGAGTCTGGGCACATCGGGTTCAGCATTTGGCGAGGGCTCGTCAGGTAGCAATGGGATCAAGGGTTGCGTAGATCTAGAAGGCAACTGTGGCTCATCCTGCTCATCCGCAGATTCAAACTCAACGTCAGACTCATTTGAGCTGGGCACCTCAGCAGATTGATAATATTGCAAGTTGTCCACATCGAAACGCACCTTCAGAGTGCGTCCAATGCGCTTAGTCGGTTGTGGTGCTGCCGGCAGTGGTGGTGCAATAGCTATTTCCTCCACTTCCGCCTCGCTTGAACTGGAACTAGGCAATTCCTCACGCTCGTAGCAAGTCAAAGGCGGCGCATCACCGCGCACATTGAGAGTCGCCGGCTTGGAGACGCGAGGCGCTGGCTGTGGTGGTCGGCGTGCTGGCACCGGTGATGCAGCAATTTGCAGCTCCTCGCAAAGCTCCTCGAAATTGTGCACCTCTTCAACGAGCGGAAGGGAGTTGCCAGTGGGCGGCTCACCATTCACTTGCAGCTCCACGAATAGATCCTCTATGCTGCTTACGTATTTGGCAACGTTTTCCTTGCCCTTGCCCTTGCCCACGACATCGGCGTATTTTGGCAAGTTTTTGTTGTTCTGTGAACCCTCCAGCTGCATCAGTGACTCGTAGTCAGGCAGGATAGGTAGATTATGAGGCTGCATATCATACGGAGGCGGTTCAAAAGAATGGGCAGTTATCTGTTGTCTAAATGTATGCTGTCCATCTGTAGGTGGTATTAGTTCCAGTTCTTGAAAGAGCGACTCCTGCTGCACCACATTTTCCAGATCTATGTTGGTTTCGTCGATCTGTTCTGTACGGGACGGATCCAGTACTGACCAACTGGACTGGGGCGAATTCGTCACAATTTCCAAGTTTGCAAAGTTTTCCCAGTCATCGTCAATGCTCTTACCAAAACCTGGCGGGCTGCTAGGCGCTGGCAGCTGGTTTCCCAGTTCAGCAAAATCTGGTTGCATGTCCAAGATGTCCGCTTCATTCATTTCGTAGGTGGAACGAATTCGCTCAAACTCCGCATCCTCCATATGTTGTGGCATTTCCAGATTATCGAATAAGTTGCGGGCTATAACTGGATCCGTTTGCTCAATTGAATCGGGCGTACCATCGATGATTTCCACAACGAACGCCGAATCCGTGTGCTCCAGCTCAAGGAATCGGCTGTTGTACACTGTGTCCTGAGCAGGCTCCGCTTCTGTGCTTAGCTCGGGCTCCGTTTGTGTCTGAATAACAGCCGGCACGTGATGCACTTGGGCAGCCACAGAAATGGCAGCTCCGACTTGGTCATCATCCGGCGTTAGTAGCTCAGGCACATCATCGACCTGCTCATACTTGACATAGCGTCCATGCTCCTTCGGCTCTTCACTGCTGGCCTTGGCGCTAATCAGCTTATATTTCTCGGCAAAATGATCAAAGTTCGGAATGTCCAGCTGAGAGGGAGGCTCCGCAGCTGCCACTGCTGTGGGCGGTGCGGGTGGTTGGCGTGTAGGCGGCGTACTATAGTATTCATAGCTGGCGCTATGCACTTCACGTCGTCTGCGTCGCGCTGCTTGAGGCTCTGAACAGTACGGAACTGGCCCAGCCAGTTCCGGTATGCTTGTCTCCTCCTTGTACGCATATGGCGCCAATTTGGTCAGCTGCAGATTGGGTACACTGCCCGTGAGGTATTTATTCGCTGAAGGAGAGAACAGTTATAAATATCGAAATTGATTAAGTATTGAATTTATATTACCTGAAAAAAACATTGGGAAATAGGGCAAAGCTCAAAATAACTATCATATTTCATTTTAGAGGGGATCAATACGTTTCGTAATATATGCTTGGTTTGCGTGTGCATTTCGAAAACCTACATGCTAAATTATGATCCTTTAAGTCAATTGTCAATTTAATCAAAACGTGTCCTGGAACTCTTTGTTTTGAATTAGGTCCGTACAAACGGAAATGAAAATATCCAGAAACATATGTACATATGTATCTAACTAATGGGGCAAGCTTTTGCAATCTACATTCAACTGATTTTAATGAGTGCAGGGTATTATTTCAGTCTAGCCCCTGCGATATCTTCCGCAGTAACTGATCGCGTCAGGCAATTTACTTCCAATTCCATTCACATTAAGTAATGCATACAGGCATACATATTTGTGTGTGCATACGTATGTACATATGTATGATTGTAAACATGCGTTTGCATATGTAAACGTTTGAACGTTTTACCTGTTGAATTTGTCGGTCGGGTACTTTCAAATTCCTCGGTATTCCGTTGGCGAAATACTCCATGTACAGCGTTGTCCGTGCCGTTTACCTGCAAGTGCAATGCGATTATTCTGCAGATTTATTAATGCCCATTCTTACAATCTAAAATTAGCAATTCCTCGGCTTTATTGTAACAATTAAAACAGCTGTGGCCTCAGCTGGTCAGGCCTAACGCCCGCAACAACAAAAACAAGTTTGCAATAATAACGAAAAGATTCGCATGCGTCATAAACTTAACTGTAAATTATTACACTCAAAAACACGGACACAAAATATAAACAAGTGTGTGTGCGTATCAACGAGAACGCGAATTAGAGATGGGATTTCGCCAAAAATATTCTAATGAGTGTCTTGAACACGACAATATTTGCTAATTGTTGTTGACATTAGTTAATTGTGGACCAAAGGAATAAGCAGTTTCTGGTGCAAGCCCTTCATCGATAAATTGCATTAATTAGCGCATCTCTTAAAATTATTCATAATTAAATGAGAGCGACTCTAAGAACCCTTTTATCGATATGTATTGCGCGGCGCTCACGTTCTCATCTCCATTTCAATTGACAACACACACACACACACACACATAAAGAAAGAGCGAATACACCTGCATTGGGTCTGTTTTCGCTGCGCCTTATCGTCGTTGGCATTCAAAGTTTTATCAGATACTTATTAACCTCATAAGTGACTTTCATCGAACTAATTGGCAAGTTTTTAAAGTTGCGCGATTTGTATACTACGCACCTGTGATTCGTAAGCTGCATATCGTGGAACAGTCTGCGTCTGGTGCTGAGTTGAGCGCGTTGTCGCTGTGCGCCCGCCGCTATCGAATGTGAGTCGCCGCCGGAAGCCCCAGATTTTGATGCCCAGCAGCACAAATACGAGACTCACCAGAAGCATGAGCGAGCTGAGCCAAGGACCATGGGCCGCTTGCCCACCTGTGCAGGACACTTGATAAGCGCACGGAGCTCACAGAAGGTAGCTAAACTTACCTTGGCCCACATACGTTAGCTGAGCCATCACTGCTATTCGCTTGTGGCCAGCATTTCGCAGTTGCACACCTGATTTTTATGAATTTTTTGCTTTTCGTCTTCAGTTCAGTTCAGTTTGGTTCAGTTCACCACGTTGGCGTTAATCGAACGCCAGTGCCGCAGCTCTTTGCTCTTGGCTCTCGGCTGTTGGCTCTCTCCGTTCTCAGCGCTTGCCGTCCGCGCCACAACGCGCCCGTTAACTGATTGAGCGGCGTTGACGTCGCCGTTCGCTAACTACCAACGCTCAACACGTTATCGCAATGATATCGTGGCGCTCCCAATGTTTGGCTCTCGCTGATTGGTTTGCTGGCTTGTTGGTTTGTTGGTGGGTCGCTCTTCTTTCACCCACTGCTCTTTGATTCGGCCCGCTTTGGCCGTCAAGCAAAGGGTATGATTTATCAGCCATTAACGATTGTTACCTGTTGCCAATCGTTTGACAGTCGCTTGGCGGTCACTGATAAGCAATTGTCTATATATCATGTGCTTTTGTCTGGCTGACTTACAGCATGGAATTCACCTCACAACAAGTTGTTATCATTATGTGGAGATACATTATAACTTCTCTCCAATACAAATACTCTTCCTAACTAGTGTCCGCAAGTCCTTAATCAATTAATGTAAAGCTCTATTTTACTTCTGAAATTGCCTTACTTGGTTTCTTCGTTACTAACTAATTTTTTGTTGTTCGACCTTTTTTGCAATTTCAAACCAAAGCCCTTAATCGCGTTAATTTTCAAAATTGTGTGATACACAAGATGTGAATATTCTGGATGTGTGTGTGCTCCTACATCCTATGTTTGCTATTTCTTTCTCTCTGAGAAAGATGCGTTCGCGACTTGGCTGCTGAAAAACATAAACTTGTATAAAACTTTTTTACCCATTTCAGGGTATTAATAGCATCGCTGTTCGAACCTACATTGGTTCACATCGGTTTGTTATTTGTAATGCCTTTTTTACGCATTCTAAAGTTATGTTTATTAATAAATCAAAGCTTGACATATTTTCATTGATATTGCTTTGAAATGATATCATTCCGACTGTAAATTTAAATGCCAATTGAAAATTCGTTTTAAGTGACTTAATAAGACTCAACTAAGTCGCAAAGACCTACAGAACCAAGGTTTAAGCATCAAGAGCGAGCAGGTTGTCTATGTCGCCTTGTTAAGAACTTCCCGGTTCTATAATCTGCAGACCTTCCTATAGACTATGTCCTCTGTTCGAAGCTATAACCCCTTGGGAATTATGATGAAATGCATTAGCATCAAGGAATATTATAGCCTTATAATTTTTATATTTTATACATAGTTAATTTGCGTATCTAACACGTATTTCATTTTCTACTTAATGTCAGCTTGCCAGCGGGTGTTCATGTAGGACGTTCCAATATCAAATCTGTTGCTGAGAAGCGTTTACCTTTGATACAGCGTTTCCTGAAATCGCTTTTCGATGCGGCGGAGGAAATAGCGCACTCGGATTTGGTATACACATTCTTCCATCCGCTGTTGCGCGACCAGCAGGAGGCCAAACTGGAGATGCCCAAGATAAGAGGTAAGCAGACTTCTGCTGTGAAAGGCAAGATAAGTAACTGGTTTCTTTGCAGAGGTCAAGCGGCAGCCATCGCGAGATAATCCGAATGAAATTGGCCAGATACGTCTATCGCTACAATACCAACGCGGCGTGTTAACTGTGATGGTGGGTTGGGTAATGCTGTACAACTAAAGGACCTTGCTCTAATGCAATGTCTCATTTTAGATACACCACGCCAAAGGACTGCCCATGCTGCAGGGTGGCCAGGAGCCGAATACATATGTCAAATGCTACCTGAAACCGGATCCAACCAAAGTGACCAAACGTAAAACCAAAGTGGTGCGCAAGACCTGCGTGCCCAGCTTCATGGAGACGGTAAGGTTACAGCCGCATTTCAAATTTTCAGAACTGCTAACTATATGTGACACTTTATATCTCAACAGTTGGAGTACCGCATGCCTCTGGATATTGTGCAGCAACGCAGGCTGCAGGTGACTGTGTGGTCACATGATACGCTGCAGGAGAACGAGCTGCTTGGCGGCTTTGAATTGGATCTCGCTAAACATGATTTGCGTCAGGAGCTGTGCGATTGGCATCGCTTGGGATCAGTGCCTAGGAATTGAAGCGACAATCTGGCCTAGTTTTATATACACGTACACACTCAATCGAACCCACACACTCACAACACTCACACACTCACACACACATACACATATATGTTAGTGCCTGTCTATTCAATGCAATAATACTTACATACTCAAAGTGATTGTACATTCCACATTATACTTATTATATTTACTTACATATACAAATAACTTAGCTGAACTCTACCTATCATTTGTATATAACGTGCACACATACACACGCACACACACTCACAAACCGACAAACACATTGAGAAATGGCACACATATACTCTTCTAGCAATTGGTATTGAGCTATTGCATAAACTTTAAATTGAAATTTTGTATATGTACATAAATCAACCAAATATAAGTGATACGTGCTGATCGGTAGTGAACACTTTTCGTATATATTCAGGGTAGCACATTGAATACTGTAGAGGGCACATTTTTTAGGCTAGTTTTCGTAGATTTCCGTCGCAATTATCGACATGCAACATTATCGCCTTGGCAGTGTCAATTCAGCTATTAAATTAAAACAGTGGAAATTGTAACTATTTTATTTCGGCATCTCAATGACATTTTCTATCATTTTTAATGCCAGTTTGTGCTCAGAAAGCTAATTCAGAAATTTTAAACATTTTGTTTAACTGGGTAGCGGCAGTTGGCAGTGCTGGCCCTGGGCCAAATTGTAGACCCGCCCCTAGTTTACCAAGCCGTGGTCCAAGATAGATGTAAAGTAGCAAAAGTTTGTTTTTACAGTATTAAAGCCCCGACAGTGCGTTGGATTCAATTCAATTCAATTCATTTAATTTAAAATTCGGGCTATAGCCAAATATCAACAGGTATTTAAATAGAGTCATAACATTCGGATCATAGAAAAAAAACAGGATCATAATTAATATACGACAGTTTGTAGCCCTATTGTCATTAGGATCTAAAAAATTTGCAGGATTATCAATCGGTTTTATCTGACTAAAACTAAAATTCCAAATATCGCTTACTGCCAAAGCAGCTTATGTGCGGAAAATATTCGGAAGATTCTTAAATAGTTGCGATCCAAAGAATATTACATACTATATTATATGATGATCCACGGTGTATTCACTGGGTCACTCCAACAACCGTTAAAAATAAAACTACAAGTTTTTATTTTTTTTATACAATAGGATGACATTTTGTCGTCCCACAAGAAAAAAAAAAAAAGAATGAATAAATCATTTTATAGTATATATATTTTTCTAATCAAAATGAGCAAAGTTCATTTAGAACGATTTAATGCGCTAACTGCACACTAATTAATATGCACAAAGCCAAAACATTTCTTTGCTAAGAATGTTAAAGATTTGCTTGACTTGTAATAAACAAACCATAAACAAATTGTATTTATGCTAACAATTAATATAATTTATTGTCTTACAAAATGATATGGCGACTTTTTTCGATTAAAAAGATTTGCTAAAGAGTCTGCTTCAATATTAAGTATACTTTTATTCAGTTGTAATATGTACTAAGTATATACATTTGTCAAAACATTTTAAAACAGAAATTTGCTTACTGTATAGAAACAAACTTGTAATAGACAAAATATTGTGTTATTTTTATTGAAAAATTGCAAGTTTAATATTCCAGCATAATAATGGCCCAGAAACAATTTGGCAAAGGGGAGGTGATCAGTCAAGTAAGGCAACAGATTGCAGTGGCAAATGCCCAGGAGATGCTCTCGAAGATGACAGAGAAGTGCTTCAAAAAGTGCATCTATAAGCCGGGAAAGGCATTGGATGGCACAGAGCAACGTTGTATTACCCAGTGTATGGATCGTTTTTTGGACACATGGAATCTCGTCTCTCGCACCTATGGCAATCGCTTGGAACGTGAGCATTTGAACGCAATGCGCAGTGAGAATGCGTTAAACTGACAAAAAAAAAGCACACGCTTACACACGCAACCAAAAATTTACCTGTAATAAAGGAGATTCTATGCTCTGTGACTTTTAACGTAATTCGCGTGTCATCCATCGTCTTCCAGCTGGCAAATACCCAGCCCCAAGCGCTTATCACTCGAGCTAAAGATAAGCCAGCGAAAAGTGCAACAGCAGCAATTGCAATAGAGAGGGGCCGGATCTGATGGACGTTCCGCTTAGCTTGATATGCGCGAAATTTAACGATCGTTATCGTGTTTGGAATGGTCTCGTTAGCTAACGGATGAACATTGACCAAAGCGCACCTTACAGCGTAGTGTAGTTTCGAGACCACTCTAATCCATTGCATCGTTTCTGGGCATATGCAAATTTTGACCATTACCAAAATATGTTTTATAAAAAAATGACAGCTAGGGCACTTTTTATGCTAGGCGTTTGTTTTTTTGGATCAGCTCTTAAGGCGTAAAGTTACCTAAAAAGTGAGTTGAGTGAAGAATTTTTATGGTCCTTCATTTAACTCTCAATTGAGGCAGATAATGAATGCAATTCTGCTTCTGAAGAACATTGCGCAAACGATCAGTAATAAAATTCTACAAAATTAGAGAGGCATTTTGAAAGCTTCAAGCTTCAATTTTGTAGAACAACGTCCTTTAACGAGTTAGTCCTTCCAAAGAAATTTGAATTGCATGTTAATCTATTGTAATTTTGTAATGCCACACTGCATTTTCTCACATTATATTTATTATATTTTATTGGAAATGGCAAGCAAATGTTTAACGGATAAAAATAGATTGACTTTAACACAGGTCGTTTTGGAAGCAGATGTCAATATTAGAAAAGATTAAGAAAAAGATAAAATATATTTCGCCTGAATACTAGAAAAGATAAGCATACCTAGCATAGAACATAATTCATTTTATTTAACAATTTCTTCGGGAAGAATACAAATAAATAATTTAAATAGACAAAATCGAATACATCTTGTCCAAATACTTGTTTCCAAACTTTTATCAGCACGGATTGAGTATGAGACAAAATATTTTTTGGCTCAACCTATTTGATTTTAAGCATTCCGTGTGATCCGTTAATTCAAGATAAATTGTCTAATATAGACAAATTCGTTGAAAGAATTCATCTAAGCAATTTGTCTGAAAAAGTGTAAAGCTTTAGATGAACATTTCTCCACTCCTCCGTCTAGCCCAAATTATTTAAATCAACATATTATTGCAATACCTTTCTTATCTTAAGCAAGTGACTTATAGACATCAAAACTGGCGATCGTATTAAACTTGATTTTTGATAATGAGTCACGTAAAACAACAAATTTTACTATCAGGTGTGTTTCTATCAATGTGGAGGGGAATTCTGAATAGGTAGAGGTGACCCGTTGACTTGCCAAAAATTTTGTGCAAAAAATTGAAAAAAAAAAAAATGAAAAAATGAAAAATAAAAAATAAAAATCGAAATATAATAAAAAAGAAATGCAAAAGATAAAATGTGAACCGGTGGCCGAACTTATTGGCTCGAATACCAAAGGCAACAAAATCCAAACGTTGAATTCGTTCCTCAACCAGGTACATTCAAGCCACACAAGTTACGATAAGAGCACGAACCAAAAGGCCAATATATAGTGGAGCTCTGTGCTTTCAACCAAAAGCTCTACGACCCAACACTAAAAATAGTCACAACACCAACAAGTGCGGTGGGTTTGAGTAATCATGGCAAGAACACGATAAGTAGAGCCCTCGGCACCTTATCTTGCCAACTAATCGGACCTCCGGCTGGCAACTCTTTGCGGGATCGGGCCTGCGGGGGGCTCTCTATGGTATATGCTAACACAAATCGGAAAATAACGCCGAGTACGTTTATACTATCGTAATAGGCAAAACGTCAACGCCAGTTGATTTATGATAACCGCCACTTGACAAGATTATACAATTTGAGAGTATCTTAAATTAGACAAGGTTATAATGCTTTTTGATAATCCAAAAGAACATGGATAGAGGGAGACAGCTACTGGCATCCTCTAAAAGCAGAAATTTAATCTGGATATAAATTTAAGTAGTTGTATTCAGATTGAAGTAATATATTCGAAAAAGTTATATTTAAAAAGGTTGAATTTTAAATGTTATATATATTTTAGATCAGGGGGAAAGTCATGCGACAACAGTTCACGTTTCTTGTCAACTGTATAATGAACATATGTCTTATAGGAATTCTGCGCCGATTTCTGAAGAATTTGCAAATACATTCTTCGAATGTGCAGATATCTGTTAATTTGTTTAAAATCATTACGCTGTCGTCAGCAAGTTGTTTACAATTTTGAAATGTCAGATAGGAAACTGGCTCTCGTGAACCACTTATGATCCGTTCATGTAAATATGTAAAGTCTTTCAGTTAATTGTTTTTGTCTTTTGGGTATAAAAGGAATTGTGGCGACAGTGCCCATCGCATTTTACCGGATACAAATTTAAAATGCAATTGGGTAAGTCAAATGGCGCATAAAATAGTCTCAAATAGAATAGATCCAGCGTCGTTTTGTCTCTAGTGAACTTCCTGTGGATTGGTCTGTTGACGATCCCGCAGGCATTCGCCCTGGATGCATGTGCAGGACAACATTTTGGATATAAAGCTGTCGATCCAGCTGATCCCCATGCATACTACTTGTGTCTGGGCTTGGTGGGCAAAATAAGAAATACTTGTGCGGAGGGATTTCGTTTTAATGTGCAAGCACAAAATTGTGCACAAGTGCAGCTGTCAAATTCTGGCAGCGGGCCCAATAATGAGTTCAATATAAATCAGAACATAACACTTGATAGGCCAATCATTTTCAATATCTTCGGCTACCTGTTTAATCGACCCCCGAATTTTCCCACAACAACGCCACCATCAATCGGAACTACCACTAAAACTCTCCCCGGAGAGAATGAATCCACAACAATAACTCAGTTATTTCCAAAAAGCACAACACACGGTATAAATACCACTCCTGATGGACTCGACACTTCTACTCGAAGCTCAACACCCGGATCTCTGCAGTCTACTGCGACAGTAACTCAACCATCAGAAACTTCTACCGAGATCTCTAGTTCCAGCAGCGAAGCCTCATCTTCCTCAGCAGAGAGTTCTACTGAGGGCTCTCGATCAAGTTCTGAAGACTCATCTTCTATTGAAACAACGGAACCATCAGAAACTTCCACCAAGAGCTCTACTGAAATTTCTGAAGCCGCATCTACAGAAACATCAAAAAGCTCTACTGACAGCTCTAGTTCAAGCTCGGAGGGCTCAACTTCTGAAATAACGGAACCATCAGAAAGTTCTACCGAGAGCTCCAGATCCAGTTCCGAAGACTCATCTTCAGCAGTACCGGAACCATCAGAAAGTTCTACTGAGAGCTACAGTTCCAGTTCCGAAGCCCCATCTTCTTCGGAAGTAACGGAACCATCAGACAGTTCAACTGAGAGCGCCAGCTCCAGTTCGGAAGCCCCATCTTCTTCTGCAGTAACGGATCAAACAGAGAGTTCAACTGAGAACTCTGTTGAGAGTTCCAGCCCCAGTTCGCAAGCCTCATCCTCTTCAGAAGTAACGGATCCTTCAGAAAGTTCAACCGAGAGCTCTAGTTCCAGTTCCCAGGAACCATCAGAAAGTTCCACTGAGAGCTCTAGCTCAAGTTCGGAGGGCTCATCTTCTGAAAAAACGGAACCATCAGAAAGTTCAACTGAGAGCTCCAGTTCCAGTTCCGAAGCCTTATCTTCTTCAGAAGTAACGGATCCATCAGAAAGTTCAACCGAAAGCTCTAGTTCCAGTTCCCAGGAACCATCAGAAAGTTCCACTGAGAGCTCTAGCTCAAGTTCGGAGGGCTCATCTTCTGAAAAAACGGAACCATCAGAAAGTTCAACTGAGAGCTCCAGTTCCAGTTCCGAAGCCCCATCTTCTTCAGAAGTAACGGATCCATCAGAAAGTTCAACTGAGAGCTCCAGTTCCAGTTCCCAGGAACCATCAGAAATTTCCACTGAGAGCAATAGTTCAAGTTCGGACGGCTCATCTTCTGAAATAACGGAACCATCAGAAAGTTCTACTGAGAGCTCCAGTTCCAGTTCCGAAGACTCATCTTCAGCAGTACCGGAACCATCAGAAAGTTCTACTGAGAGCTTCAGTTCCAGTTCCGAAGCCCAATCTTCTTCGGAAGTAACGGAACCATCAGACAGTTCAACTGAGAGCTCCACCTCCGGTTCGGAAGCCCCATCTTCTTCTGCAGTAACGGATCAAACAGAGAGTTCAACTGAGAGCTCTGTTGAGAGTACCAGCCCCAGTTCGCAAGCCTCATCCTCTTCAGAAGTAACGGATCCATCAGAAAGTTCAACGGAGGGCTCTAGTTCCAGTTCCCAGGAACCATTAGAAAGTTCCACTGAGAGCTCTAGCTCAAGTTCGGAGGGCTCATCTTCTGAAAAAACGGAACCATCAGAAAGTTCAACAGAGAGCTCCAGCTCCAGTTCCGAAGCCCCATCTTCTTCAGAAGTAACGGATCCATCAGAAAGTTCAACTGAGAGCTCCAGTTCCAGTTCCCAGGAACCATCAGAAATTTCCACTGAGAGCAATAGTTCAAGTTCGGACGGCTCATCTTCTGAAATAACGGAACCATCAGAAAGTTCTACTGAGAGCTCCAGTTCCAGTTCCGAAGACTCATCTTCAGCAGTACCGGAACCATCAGAAAGTTCTACTGAGAGCTTCAGTTCCAGTTCCGAAGCCCAATCTTCTTCGGAAGTAACGGAACCATCAGACAGTTCAACTGAGAGCTCCACCTCCGGTTCGGAAGCCACATCTTCTTCTGCAGTAACGGATCAAACAGAGAGTTCAACTGAGAACTCTGTTGAGAGTTCCAGCCCCAGTTCGCAAGCCTCATCCTCTTCAGAAGTAACGGATCCTTCAGAAAGTTCAACCGAGAGCTCTAGTTCCAGTTCCCAGGAACCATCAGAAAGTTCCACTGAGAGCTCTAGCTCAAGTTCGGAGGGCTCATCTTCTGAAAAAACGGAACCATCAGAAAGTTCAACTGAGAGCTCCAGTTCCAGTTCCGAAGCCTTATCTTCTTCAGAAGTAACGGATCCATCAGAAAGTTCAACCGAGAGCTCTAGTTCCAGTTCCCAGGAACCATCAGAAAGTTCCACTGAGAGCTCTAGCTCAAGTTCGGAGGGCTCATCTTCTGAAAAAACGGAACCATCAGAAAGTTCAACTGAGAGCTCCAGTTCCAGTTCCGAAGCCTTATCTTCTTTAGCAGTAACGGATCCTTCAGAAAGTTCAACTGAGAGCTCTAGTTCCAGTTCCCAGGAACCATCAGAAATTTCCACTGAGAGCTCTAGTTCAAGTTCCGAGGGCTCATCTTCTGAAATAACGGAACCATCAGAAAGTTCTACTGAGAGCTCCAGTTCCAGTTCCGAAGACTCATCTTCAGCAGTAACGGAACCATTAGAAAGTTCTACTGAGAGCTTCAGTTCCAGTTCCGAAGCCCCATCTTCTTCGGAAGTAACGGAACCATCAGACAGTTCAACTGAGAGCTCCAGCTCCAGTTCGGAAGCCTCATCTTCTTCTGCAGTAACGGATCAAACAGAGAGTTCAACTGAGAGCTCTGTTGAGAGTTCCAGCCCCAGTTCGCAAGCCTCATCCTCTTCAGAAGTAACGGATCCATCAGAAAGTTCAACGGAGGGCTCTAGTTCCAGTTCCCAGGAACCATCAGAAAGTTCCACTGAGAGCTCTAGTTCAAGTTCGGAGGTCTCATCTTCTGAAATAACGGAACCATCAGAGAGTTCTACTGAGAGCTCCAGTTCCAGTTCCGAAGCCACATCTTCTTCGGAAGTAACGGAACCATCGGAAAGTTCTACTGAGAGCTCTGTTGAGAGCTCCAGTTCCAGTTCGCAAGCCTCATCTTCTTCAGAAGTCACGGATCCATCAGAAAGTTCAACTGAGAGCTCTAGTTCCAGTTCCCAGGAACCATTAGAAAGTTCCACTGAGAGCTCTAGCTCAAGTTCGGAGGGCTCATCTTCTGAAAAAACGGAACCATCAGAAAGTTCAACTGAGAGCTCCAGTTCCAGTTCCGAAGCCTTATCTTCTTTAGCAGTAACGGATCCTTCAGAAAGTTCAACTGAGAGCTCTAGTTCCAGTTCCCAGGAACCATCAGAAATTTCCACTGAGAGCTCTAGTTCAAGTTCCGAGGGCTCATCTTCTGAAATAACGGAACCATCAGAAAGTTCTACTGAGAGCTCCAGTTCCAGTTCCGAAGCGTCATCTTCTGCAGTAATGGATCAAACAGAAAGTTTAACTAAGAGCTCTACTGAGAGTTCCAGTTCCAGTTCGGAAGCCTTATCTTCTTCAGCAGTAACGCAACCATCAGATTCTACTGAAAGCTCTAGTTCAAGCTCCGAGGAACCATCAGAATTTTCCACTGAGATCTCTAGTTCAAGCTCGGACGGCTCATCTTCATCTGATATAACGGAACCATCTGAAAGTTCTACTGAGAGCTCCAGCTCCAGTTCCGATCCCTCATCTTCAGCAGTAACGGATCCATTAGAAAGTTCTACTGAGAGCTCCAGTTCCAGCTCCGAAGCCTCATCTTCTTCTGCGATAACGGATCAAGCAGAAAGCTCTACAGACAGCTCCACTTCTTCGTCTTCATCCGCTGGACCAGAAGCAGCTGTTTCCCCTATTGGGGTTTTTGCAGCACTTCAACTTCTTCCAATCGGCTTGAATGCTGGAAAACCCAGTGAGGGATTAAAAAAGACATTGTGGACACCAACAGCGCATGGAGCTACATTCTCCACTGATGGAACCAAAGAAAGTTCATATTGCGCCCTTCTGCCAAATGGTGCGTACATAAGAGACCCAAAGTCCTGTAGTAAATTTTATGTTTGTGCAAATGGAGGCTCCATTTCTCGAAAGTGTCCTGGAAATCTCTATTTCGATATAGAAAAGAATATTTGCAATTTCCCCAGTCTTGTAGACTGTTCCAAGCAACAGCAACTATTCTCTAATGCCGTTGGCATTAGCTCGGAAAACTTGTTAACTTCTGATGGGAGGAAACCGTCCTTGGATGCACCATCGACACCTGAAGCCTCAGAGAATATTTCATCCGACAATAATAGCATATTATTGGATAAGCCATTGTCAGTCTCTGCAGTTACGAAAATTACGTTGGGTAATCCAACCGAAGAGCGCACAAAACTGAGTTCTGCGGAAGATAACAGCTCCAGCTCAGAGAATTACCTTGCTAGCCCAAAAGTAACAGTCAGTACAGGGATTGGATTGCAAGGCTCAAAACAATTTGCACCAGCAATCGAGGACCTTAAACAGCTCGAACATATGAGCCTTAAGCAAGGCATACGCGAAATGAATCCTGAGCTGGTTGCGACGGAAGTTGAGGAAAGGTCAGTCTGCAGCTCTCTACCAAATGGCGCCTATCTAAGGGACTCCAAGTCATGTAGCAAATTCTATATCTGTGCCAATGGTCAAGCGATTTCACGTAGCTGCCCAAAAAATCTTTATTTTGACGTGAAGAAAAAGGTTTGCAATTTTCCACAGCTTGTGGAATGTCTAAGCAGCGATGACCAGAGTAACAATTATAGAAATCCATTACCAAAACCCAATAAAAATCTGGATGGCGTTCGTATCGTTAAAACGACGAGTACGGGAAGTACATTGCGTTCGCCTCCTAAGCCAAAACCATCTTCAGAAAGCACAATTGTAGTTCCAAAGGTATCCAAAAAATCGGAGGAGGAAGGCTCCCCAATAGCCAGCAGCTCCCAAAACAGTTTTGTGTCCAGCTCAAAGGTCATAAAGTCTCAAAGTGCCTCCGCCGACCAGGGTAACAGGAGCACCAAGAAAACTCAGATTCCCGCAGCACAAAAGCAACAGCAGGGCAGACCATTTGTAGCTGGGCATATTAAGTCTCAAGACGCGGAAATACCTTCCCTAAAAAATGTTGTGTCCAGCTCAAAGGCCATAAAGTCTCCAAGTGCATCCGCCGATCAGAGTAACACCAGCTCCAAGAAAACTCAGATTCCCGCAGCACAAAAGCAACAGCAGGGCAAACCAATTGAAGTTGGGCATATTAAGTCTCAAGACGCGGAAATAAGTTCCCTAAAAAATGTTGTGTCCAGCTCAAAGGTCATAAAGTCTCAAAGTGCCTCCGCCGACCAGGGTAACAGGAGCACCAAGAAAACTCAGATTCCCGCAGCACAAAAGCAACAGCAGGGCAAACCAATTGAAGTTGGGCATATTAAGTCTCAAGACGCGGAAATAAGTTCTATAAAAAATGTTGTGTCCAGCTCAAAGGTCATAAAGTCTCAAAGTGCCTCCGCCGACCAGGGTAACAGGAGCACCAAGAAAACTCAGATTCCCGCAGCACAAAAGCAACAGCAGGGCAAACCAATTGTAGCTGGACATATTAAGGCTCAAGGAGCGGAAATAATAAGCTCGACGAAAACTGAGATCTATAAGAAACCAGCTAGAGTACTCAACACAGGGAAGAGGATTAAGCCAAGAGAACCCATGCTCGTGCCTTCAGGCGTGGAGAGTTCAGACTGCAGTTTCCTGCCAAATGGGGCTTTCATAAGAGATTCAAAGCTGTGCGGCAAGTTTTACGTGTGCGCAAATGGTCGTGCCGTACCCAAAAACTGTCCAGGAATTCTTTATTTCGATATCAAGAAGAGGGTCTGTAATTTCCCCAGCCTAGTGGACTGCAGAAACAACAATGATGCACACACCGCAGCTCCAGTCAAACCTTCGACTACTTCTGTCCTGCCGCCAAGCACACCAATCCCGGATTGTAGCTCCCTGCAAAATGGCGTCTATCTAAGGCATCCAAATTCGTGTAGCAAGTTTTATGTGTGTGCGAATGGCCGTGCCATAGCTAGAGAATGCCCCAAAGGGCTTTATATAGACACAGAGATAAAATATTGCGATTTCCCCAGTCGAGTGGCCTGTTCCCTAGATGCTCCACAGATACCAAACCGTGCTCAGGGTCTAGCAAATATTGCAGCAACAACTCTTGGTGAGCCCGACTGTAGGGATAAGGTCGATGGAACCACTCTGCGCGATGCGAAACAATGCAATAAGTATTATATCTGCGTAAAGGGAACTCCAGCTACCCATTTCTGTGCGCCTGGCAAATGGTTTGACCTCAATCGCCGGGTCTGTGACCCCAAGCGTCTGGTCGAGTGCAGTAATTGAGTGGGCAGAGCTCATTATATAACTCTAATGAATTGAGAGTATTATGGATAATGTATATGGTATAATAGGTGAAGGGCTATACTATCAATTTGAATAAGTGGCGCATACTAACTTTAGCATATAATATAGAATTGGTTATGGTGTTTGTTACGCATAAGGAAATCGACAATGTTATCCAGTGTATTCCGACAAAAGTTTTCACATTACTTAATGTCTTCTACAGGGAATAAATCAAATATTTTAACATCCTGAGTTTCCACATTATATTCCAGACTTTGTCGTTGTGGTATACACTAATCGAATCAGTTATATTTTGATTAATTCAATTTTCTTCCAAGATACTTGCAGACTCGCTCTGGTGTCGGTTGGGCTTGGGACGTGTCGTTCTGTGTGTGTAAGTCCTTGAAGTGTGGCGACAAATTACGGGACAGGGCGCAAACAACTCCTAAGGGCGGAGAGGGGTTGAAATCGATTTTGTTTCAAGACATTTCACGTGACAGAACTCAAGACAGAACGTTTAGACGCCCAGCAACGATTCGAGTTACATATGAGCCAAGTGATAAGATACGCCGACACCTCATCAGGAGCCACCCCGGAACAGCCCTTGTCACAGTGAGTGGCTGCTGCACAGGCAAAAGGACATTTTAAAGTAACTAAAAACAACTTGAACTGTCATATTTAAATAGATTTCTTAACTAAGATTCAAGCTAAAAAAAAAATCAATTGTATTTATGACTGACCCCGTTTGACATTGTTAGGTTAGGTAGCTTAATAAAGGAATTAGGCGCCAAAAACTTGAGTACAGTAAAATAGTGTTATGAACGCCAGAGCCAAAGCGAGCTGCAGACAACCGAGAGAGAGAGAGAGGCTGAGAGTCAGAGAGAGCTTATGGGGTGCGTCCAACTACGCGCTCCCTGCATGGTGGTTGGTAGCTTGGTAGCCGCCTCAATGCCGGCTATTGTCAAAATGTTGCCAAAGGTCGCAGTCGGTTTTCGTATTTCGTATTCAGCGGGCAAACTGACAGCTTTCGATTCGAAACTAACATTTGTGAACAAACTTCTAACAGTGTAATGTTAGTGAAATTTGATTGAAATACGAATGGAATCGCTAAGCTGTTAATTACAACTGAAATAAACTGTTAAGTGACGCGCTGCTATTTTCGGGCATCAATTGGGCGTCCATAGTGTCATCTCGCTCGCACTGAACACAACATTCAATCGATAAACTTAACAGTGGGCTGCCAACTTAAACATAAATGTATGATGCTAACTCAGCGGTCATTGGAGCTAGTGACGAGTAGTCTCAGTAGCAGTCGCAGTGTCAGCGTTGAGACGTCCAGACGGAAATGTGCAAACATTGAAAGCGCCACAAAATGTGTTTCGTTATGCGTTTGTGTGTGTCCTGTGAAATGTAAAAATGTAAAATGCAATGCGCATAAATAAATGCAAGTGCTGCAACGCAAAAACCAAATTCAACTTCAAACTGAAATTTAGCAAATAAAAGCGAAAGCCAAGTGCAAGTACGAGTGCGAGTGCAAGCAGTCGCCGTTTTACCGTTGAACTTAGTGTGAGTATTTAGCAACGGGCGTTAACGAAGGTGCAAGCACACAGGTAATATCATATTTAACAGCAACTTTTGTCGTTGCTTTTTGTTAACTTTAACTACGGCAAGCGACAACAACAACAACACCAACAATAACAACAACAGAAACACAGAGAACGAGCATAAAAAATAGCTGGCTCTGTAGTAAAAGTAAATTGAGAAAGTAGCGAGTAAAAGCGCCACACAACCCCCTCCCAAATGCCCCGCAGCAGTGGTAGCAGCAGCAGCAGCAGCAAGTGCTTTGTCGCTGTTGAGGGTTCTTGTTGTTGTAGTTGTAGTCGCTTGTCGTTTGCGCCTGTGCCAGGGGTTGCTTGGTTTCAAAGCGGCACTTGCATATGTATGTGTGTGTGTGTGTGTGCGTCTGTTTGTAACGGTTAATCTCATTCATCAGAGAGTTGAGTTTTACACATTTTTACGCCTGCGAGTATACTACGTTAGCAACGAGCAATGCCCGATGACTCGCTCGCTGCCCTTCCCGCGCACCCTTAACTTTAACCAGCACTCTCTCGCGTGAGGGAACGAAAGAGAGAGCGAGAAGAGAGTGAGAAAGAGATAGAGAGAGAGAGAGAGAGAGAGAGCTGTAAGCAATGCACAAAAGCCGCTGTTAGTGTTGTCAGCTCGCTTGCGCGCACAGTGCTAAAGGCGCAGTTAGTGGTCGATTTTAAAAGTCCTTCACGTAGCGACTCAGTCATATATGTGTGCGTGTATACACTGTAAAAGTAGTGTCAAGCGCTGTACATAGGCACACGCATAATTACATATACATATGCTAAGAGGAATACCTATGTACATATATATTGTATATGTCAAATTTTCGTAGCCAGGGTCAGGATGTGTGTAATGGAATACAATTCGGTTGCGTTTTTTATGTACGTTTGCAGACACACAGAGTTTTCGGCAGGTGCGACTATACCCTGTTGAACAGTGTAAAGTTAGCTTATGGGCATACGCATATTTGGATTCGTAGTCGCACATGCGTATCCTCAGTCGTATTAATCATTAAGATGACCTCGACCCTTTCTAGTTTGGCCCCCACGCCCCAGCATTTCCTCTCGACGCCCGAAATGTCGGCCAGGGATGCTGGATATGTCGCCTGTCAGCTTTTGTGGCCAAATGAGAAAACTGCCAACTGCTAAATATAAAAATAAATAAATAAATGTGATTGCGTTTGCGGCTTGTTGTTGCGAATTTGGTTGACAGTCGCCCCAAAACCTGATACCCTGTCGTCCGCCATCTTATTGGCAAGGCTTTAGCTATTAATCTGTCCGCATCCAAATCGAATACATGTATTTTCATATTATTTTCCCTATTTTTTTTTTTTTTTTTTTGCATACATACATGATTTAGTTTTTGCGTTTGTGCTTGTCGTCAAGCTAGTCCTGGTTGTATCGGGTCTTGGCATCTTGGGACTGACCCAGTTGTCAGCCGTTCAAGCACTAAGCCATTTCCTCGCCAAGCCCCATTTTGTCATCGCGCACAATCCTATCTCCAGTTGTATCTGATTTGGCACTTTTGGCGCTCAAGGAAATAAGCGTTATAAGTGGTTTCCGAGAGTGTTGGCGGGGAAAGGGTTTTGTGTAGTGGATTGTTAATCAAATATTGACAGCAAATCAGCGTGTGTAACAGATAAATTTCTTACTGAATAAAGTTGGCCTAATTTATGGTAGAGGGGCTCTGAAAAGATTTCCGAATGGTTCATTCTTAACTTTTCAAAATTTCATTTTAATATTTGATTCCCTTAACATAGAATAAACAAATCAGCTAGTTATTAAATGGTGTCATGCTAGATAAAGTCCAGAAATGTGTGGGACTTGAGTTTTATTGTCCAGATAGCACCTGCCAGGCGCGTATCTTGTTGTCCGAGTAGCCAGCAAAGAGTGTCTGGCCATCTATGGACCAGGCCAGTGACAGGCACTGTGGCAGATCACCTTTGGCCGTTGGCGGCACATCCTCCAGCCACAGATCAAATGCGGCTTTCTTTGAGGCCAGGTCCCATACAATTATCGATGAGCCGCAGGCAACACAAAGCCAGTAGCGGCAGGGTGAAAAAGACATGGCATTAACCACATCATGATGATCCAGCGGATATAGATTGCGGCCATCGCTCAGATCCCAGAAGAGCACCTTGGCATCCTTGCCGCCCGATGTGCACAGCGAGCCGTCCGGCGAGACGGCCACCGTGGATAGGTAGCCAGTGTGTCCATGATGATTATTACGCAGCTTGCAGTGGGTCAAGTCCCAGACCTTCACGGTGCGATCCCAGCCGCACGAGACGATCAACGGATTGGAATGCTTGGGTGAGAAGCGCACGCAAGATATCCAATCGGTATGGCAGTCATCGGTTATGGTGTACTTGCAATCCGCCAGCGTGTTCCACAGCTTGATGGTGCGATCACGCGAGCCCGAGACTATCTGTCGATTGTCTGGGGAAAAGGCCACCGAAAGCACATCCTTGGCATGTCCTTCAAAGCGATGCGTCGTGGCGCTGGCTGTCAAATCCCACAGCCGTATGGTGCGATCCCAGGAACCGGACAGCGCGAAATTGCCATCGGAAGAGAGCACCACGTCGCTGATGAAGTGCGAGTGCCCATAGTTCCGTTTCAGCGTATACCCATAGTTATTCTGGCTCTCACGAGTCAAACGCCACACGATGATGGTCTTGTCCCGGGACGATGATACCAACAGATCCTGATCGTACGGATGCGGCGCCACCTGAGTAACCCAGCCACTGTGGCCGGAAAGGACACCAGCTAATTGTATTACCTCTGGCATATTTGTTTGTTTTTATTTATTTTTGTTGTTTTTCAAATGTTTACGCTTTTTATTTATTTCCTTATTTATAGATCAATTCCAGTTTATGAAAGGATTGCCTAGTTTGCAGTTTCAAGAATATCCAGATTGTCAGAATATTTTCAAAGATATTTTCTAGTCGATCTAGTTATATTTTCTTGTCTTTCTCTCTGCTCTTTGTAGGGCCCAATCCAATTTATTGCTATTTAAAAGTATCCTTATGTGTTTGAGACTGTGTCTCTTCTTCCTATGGTGCTATTAATTAATAAATGCACTCTGAAATAATTTCGGTGTTTATTGTCCGATCGTATAACAAAGATTATAAGGAAACAACTCTTGTTGTTGGTATGGAGTGACTATATACCCTTTCCATATGTTTATATAGCAAATAAACATAAATAGTCGCCATTTCGCGGCCATCTATCAATATTTAAAGTCATGACAATTGTTCTACATAATTTTGGTTGAGGTGGGTGCACGTGACGTTTGTCTAGTGTCCTGTCCCTTCCCTGCGTGCTCTCCTTCATTTAAGGGCGATGACGTAAAATGAAAAATGACGTTAAGCAACGCGAAAGCTTTGCCAGACGTCGGCACCTGAAACAAAAGCCCAAAAAGGTAAAGGATAAAGAAGAAACCAGTTAAAAATTGCTTTAAAATGCACATGCATAAGTGCGTGTATGTGTGCATTTGTGTGCGTGTGTGAGTGTGTGCCTGACTGTCTGTGTATGAGTATTGAGCGGGCTCTGGCAAAAACAATGCGGCTTTTCGACGACTCGCTTGAAAAATTACTCATACGGCAATGAAATACGAAAGTGTGTGTGTGAGTGTGGGTGTTGTGTACGAGTATGTTTGTATGTAAGTGTGCATGTATGTATGTATATATGTGTGTGTGGCGCCAGCGGCGCGCTGTTGTTGCTGGCATCGCTGTTGGCAGTCGCCATTCAGCAGACAAATGGACATGGCCAAAGACGGGTGGCTAGACTGACGGGCAGACCCAGCAAGAGGGTTTGCAGCGAGAGGGTATAGGGCGTATGGGGAAGGGGAAGGGCGCAAATTGAGACAGAGACACGGAGCAAGAGTACTTTTTGCATTCGCCGGCGAGTTGTTTAGGGTGCATGCGGGTGTTGGATAAAGTGTTGCCAACACACATAAAAACACTTTGCCGTTACATATAAAGTAATTTCTTTTGTTTACAGGAGACCAGCAGTTAATATAGATGTGTGTGTGTGTGTGTGTGTGTGTGTATGTGTGCGCGTTTATGTTGCTTCTCTTCTTTTTGTTTTTATTTTTGTGGATTTAATGTACTGTTGTTAATGGAAATTTCGTAAATATTCACCGTTATGCGAGCCACAGCGCTGATTATTTTTTTATATTTATAGTTTCCGTTAATATTTGCCACCATAAAATATCTGACATTGTTTTTTGTCTGCTTTATGGTAAGGGTATGCTATACCAATCCCGACTTATTTAACTCTAAAGCTTTTAAAAAGGCAACATACTTTTATAGTTTGCGATCTGTTAAATTCAAATACATATTTAGGCTCGGACCGACTTATAATTTCTATGCATCTATATATATAATTTGCTGAAAATATTTGTAAAATTCCACTCTTGAGAAAATATACATTCAAGTGAGAAATTTGTGCTGATTTACAATTTTAAGTTGTATATATTAGTATATATTTATAAAGTATGTGTTTACTTATGTATTCGTTTGTGTATGTATATGTGAATGCACGCAGACCAGGTCTACTTCCCGCTGCTCTGCTAAAATTTAAATAAAAACGTAGTCTTAAAATTATATTGTTCTCTGCGATACTCATGAATTCATGTAGCTTTCACAGCTACAGCTTTCCGCTTCGACAGTAAGTCAAGTGAAGTGTTAAAAATGCTGTGTGGAATGTACTACCTTGTTTTTATACCCCGAACCCATTAAAAATGGGTTTAATAGCCGAGTCGATCTAGTCATGTCCGTCCGTTCGGCCGTCCGTATGTATGAACGCAAGGATCTCAGAACCTATAAAAGCTAGAGACTTGAAATTTTAGATTTCGAATTTGTTTCCGATAACCGATAACTTACTCCGTTTCCAAGCAATCGATATCCTGTTTTTTGGGCAATTTTGGTAAATAATAAGAGCTAGAGTCACCAAAATAGTTTCTAAAATAGAATATATATGCATTTGGTGTTGGAAGAAGAGGGTTCAGGGTATCCCCTAGTCGGGAGCTCCCGACTAGAACCTCTTACTTGTTTATATCTGTGATACATATAAGTATATATAGTACGCAAATATATCTTATAGGTTGTCCATTAGGACAGCTATAACCAGAAGAGCTTTATAGTCAGCTTTTGTGATGAATGTGCACGCTTGTTAAATTCCATCCGCAAGTGCGAAAAATCATGGAAAACGTTTGAACGAAACATTTTTTTACCATCCTATCGGCTTCAAACTAATTTTCAAAGATCTTTGTTTCGCTTATAAAAACATTTCCAAGCGTCTAAACAAAAAATTATTTCATATGTGTTTCATACATTTTGCAGACTTTAGGGATTCTCGGTAAAAAATGCAATTTGAAGAATATTTGGGCTAAGTTTTAAGTTTCGTCTGATTTGCTCAAAACTGATTATCAAAGCCCTTCATAAAAATTAACTGAATACGTGTTTTGGCGATTTAGAGAATTCCACACGTAACTGTGGAAATTTTGCGGAACATTTTAACCTACGTTGGTTTTTGTCGGCATCAAATTCATTTTCAGAGATATTTGTTCAAAATGATTTGATGTTTTTCGCAAAATAACCACGCTTTGATTAAAAATTAAGTTTAATGAACATAAGTTTACTTTCGTCTTCAAGCTTCTCACCACGAGACGAACATGAGTTGTTGTCATCTTTTGGTTTTTTATTCCATGGACTTTAGATATATTAAGATAGTACGGACAAATTTAAATATTTCACGGGCAAGAACTGGATGAAAGTTATATTTCAAATTTTAGGCACAAAACTTGCCACGTGCAAAGCCGTGGTATTCCCGCTAGTCTATATGCGTGCTTGATAGTACATATGCGTACCTGCTTGCATATATGTGTGTATGTATTTATGTATGAATAAATGTATGTGTGCTAATATGCATGTGCACACATGTACATATTTTTTATGCCAAGCGCAGACTAAGTTTTCTTTTCGCTGCGCTGCAAACTAAATTTATAATTTACAAGTATAGAATTACCCTAATACATGTATGTGTATGCATAGGTAACATATATTTTGCATATAATTATATATTATAATATTTATATATTAATAAGAATATATGGAAAGGAAATTAAGGCCTGGGCACGGGATATTTCCCGGCTATTAATATTTGTTCGTTCAGTCTAGAAATGTCATTTGAGCGCACATCATAAATAATATGAACTAAATAATGGCAACTAAATAAAAACATAAAAAAGGGACAAACGTGTAGGTATTAGTGCAAACACCATGCATATAGAGACCTAAATAAGACACAGGAATAAAACTCCAAAGCAATTGCCCGATGAAACCCCACAGGGCCATTAATTGTATGCTACTCTACAATTTCTCTCTTTTGCTTTGTACACTTTGCCATTGTGTTTTCCATTTTGTGTGCCATGTTTTACGCACACACATACAAAACACACACACACACACACACACACACACACACACTTGTCAGTTGTTATTGTTGCTGTTGATAGTTTTGTTTGTTTCGCCTGGCTAAAGCCGCTTTAGACGCGTTGTTGCTTTTGGGCCTTTGTTCCTTTTTGTTGATATGCTGTCGGTGTTTGTAATTTATGCGGCTTCTGACGCCTTCCCTTCTGTCCAGTTCATCAACATGAACAACAGCGGTTCGGAGTGATATAACAACAATTACAACTTACGTTCATTTGGGGCTGGCAACATGCGAGAACTCTGTCGGCTTTTAACCACACATCGATTGATATTTATCTAAACAGTTTTCGATTCGCATAGCTTAAAACTCTTGTTTATATTTTTTTCTTTTTCATTTACGGTTGCAACTTCAATTTATTTTCATTAATTAATTACGAAAAACGAAAGGGTAATAAAAGAATTAGCCGTTGACCATGCCAAGCAAAAACCGTTGCCATGGCAAAAGCAACAGCAACAACAACAACAACAACAACTATAGCAACAGCAACAACACAACAAAGTTCAAATTGATACTTCCACATCCTGTCTGTACACTGAAATTCAATATTTAGTCGTTGGATCTTACTTTGTTTTCCTTAGCTTCAATTATTAACTCTAATTATGGCTAATGAAAATTGTTAGCACCCAAATACCCCTGCCAATCTATAGGTATGAGTTCAGTGCGAGCTTATGTAACAATTTGCAGTCCTGCTTTAATTTTAAAGAACAATTTACTCAAATCAAATGTCCTGTGTGTTTTAAAGAACGCTTGCAGCCAAAATTGTTAGTCTACTTGGCAGGAGAAGTCAAAACGTGCAACGGGAAAAGTCAGAAAAACTATAATCAAATTTAATTAAAGGCGAAATTGGAGCGCTCGAAGGATAACAAACAGTGAACGTGTATGTGACACATCTAAAGTCCGAGGCTTGAATGGTCCGGCAGATGCGAGAGAGCATGAGACAGAGAGAGAGAGAGAGAGAGGGGGAGAACTAGCGAGGGAATAGGAGAAATGCTGCAAGTAAATAAAGCACAACAAAATATGTGTGATACATTTTTTTGCTGCTGTTGCTGCTGCCTCTGTGCCCGATTCTGTTGCTGCTACTGGCTTCTCATTATTATTTTGCCTTTTATGTGGCACAAGAATAGAGTGAGTGTGGCGCGTGGTGAGGTGAGGTGAGGTCGGCACGGTCAGGGGGTACACGCCCCGCCAGCAGCGACCCGGTCTGCTCGGGGGCTGCCGTTGATTTCTAATGTGATAAACTTTTGATGGCACAAAGGCGCTGCCATGCCAGCTGCTCTCCCGTAGCGCATGGCCTGCAGCAAACCACAGTATAACACAGCCGAGCATACCCGCACCCGCAACCGCCCCTCAGCTTTGCTAAGGAAATTATTGTAC